AGGACTCCAGGTGAAGCTTCCCCAATGCCGAACATAGAAGAAGAATCACTTCTTTTGATTTGCAAGAGATGCTCCTGTTAATGCAACCCAGTACACTGTTGGGTTTTGCTTGGGTTTTTGTTTTTTTTGCAGTAAGGGCACACTGTTGGCTCATATTCAGCTTATGGTCTGCTGTAAGCCCCAGGTCCTTCTCTGCAGTACTGCAGCCTACCAATCACTCCCCAGTGCATGTGAGACAATAATTGCATGCACAAGTGCAGAACTTTGCACTTGTCCTTGTTGAATATCATCTGGGTGGTTGTGGACCATTTCTCCAGTGTATCTGGATCCTAGCCTTTCCCTTCTGAGCATCTGCAACTTCACCCAGCTTGGTCATGTGCAGATTTGCTGAGCATGCCCTCAACCCCACTCTCCAAGTCATTAAGGAATATGTTAAACAACACTAGACCCAGGGCATACCCTTGGGGAAGCCCACTTGAACCTCATCTCACAGAGAGCAAGGCATTGAGGGCAAAAGACCGAGGGGGGAGGCTGGAGGCTTGGTACTCCCCCTGGAAGTCAGCAGATCCAGATCCTAGCTTCAAAGGAAAGAGACAGTCACAGTCCTTGGTCACTGGGGACCCAAATGTGCCTGATACCAAGAGCTCTTAACTTCTGTCACATTTTGGCCTTGTAAGTAACCAGGATCCTCAGTGACGGTGGATGAGGAGAAACTGGCTTGCTGATCTGTGCCCTCCAAGTGAAAATGGTACCTAGACTGAAGGTTGAAGAACATGGTGAACTGAACTTCTCGAATGTGTTAGCTCCACACTCACCTCCATTTGTCCAAGCACCGGCAAGGGAGCTTACGGGGAGTGGGGTGGGTCTTCTCACCAGGTTCAATGGGTCATCTAGGATTGAAGGGGAGGCTAAAAGAATAATTCATATTGTAGTAATAGACCTTGGAGAGGATGGAGCCAGAAAATTAGGAGCAAGAGCGCTTGTTCCTTGGACAGAACAGAGATTTCTATGGGCCTAATTCCCATTTTACCCTATTCTCACACCCATGTGACTGTTGAGTTTAGTGATGGTGCTACTGGCTTCTCTCAGTGAAAAATGAGAGAAGAAGCAGCCCCCCGCAGATAACAAGCTAATGCCCAATTTACGCCAGTATAAATGTGGTGTTTGTCTGTAGCATGCTTCTATACAGCTCCTAGCACAATGGGGAGTCGATCTCAGTTACAACCCCAAAACTTTCCTATAAAATAAATAGTAAAAATGAGTTGAATCAATCCTTTCCGCTCCATTAGTGATATGTGCTAATTCATAGTCATCTTCACAGTTACTTCTAGCAACCAGAACAGTCATGTCTTGAAAGCTGACTTCTTGAGGAAGTCTGACTTGTGTTTGCTCCAGTGATATACTGACTGGGCGTGTCTACATGTGCATTTACGCCAGCTTAAATTTACTGCACAATGGGAATAGACCAGCATCTACACGTGCAGGTGACCTGGGACGGAATTTAGTCCCGTCAGAGCAGCCTGCCATGTGCCCCTGTGGCCACCGGGGGGAGCTCCAGCCTCTGGCCACACGGCTGCCAGCCCTTGGCACTAACTTTAGTCCCAAATTGAAGCCAGGAGCCCTGGGGCTGGGCTCAGGCTGGCCCCCTGGTGGCTGGGCAGGCCCAGCAGGGAGGCCCCCTGGGTTACTGCACAGTAACGTGTCTACACGTGTGTTACTGCGCAGCAACTAATCGGGCGTAAATTTGATACCTGCATGATGCCTGCACTCAAGTCGGTGTAAGTCACCGTATTTACTGTGCAGTACAGGTGTGCACGTGTAGACATGCACCCATACTGTGCAGTAAGTTGGGTTACTACGCAGTAAATGCGCACGTGTAGACGCACCCCCTGGTGACCTAACACATGTCCTGCTGCCACATCTTCGCAGGTTCAGAGGACAGCCTTTGTCCACTCATTGTTCCCTGGTCCGGAGTGGGACTAGAGCCTGGCCCTGTTGACTGCCTTGCAATCCGAAGGTTTAGGGGCAGAGAATGTACTTGGCATGTATTAATAAAGAGCGGTATGAATTGATGGTGTTTAAGCAGCGATTATTAATTGTACCATGTGAAGTGAAGAAATAAGATCTCTTCTCACCGGGAAGCTATTCAGAGCACAATTTGTCTTTGAATGCAGTTTTAATTAAGATTTGCTTTCATGACAAAAAGAATAGCGCTGTCAGGATTTGGGAGGGAGGGAGATATTCTATAAATACAAAGCAGATAAAAAAGACAGGAGCAGATGACAGGTTAACATCTCCAGCGGTAGTAACTGCTGCATATTTGTGACAGAAAGCAAAGTATAGGAAGCTGAACTACTCAGCCCTAGTTTCATGGGTCCCCTGGGAGCGTATCTGTAGTGTGATAGACTTTCTGTTGTCACTTTGTATCCGAAGTATGGCAGAAGATGTGTTGCACCAATATTGTCATCCCCTAATCTCTTAATTTAGCTGTTCCCCTTGATATTTAGTATTTAACCAATTGCAGAATTCTTTGTCGGTTCTTTTCTTAATGTATTCAGCCACCGTGGTGCAGTCACTGCACCTTTGGTATAATAAAACAAGATGCTCTGGTACCTTTCCCTTTATATCTGGAAGCAGACGGAGCAGTGGGCAGCTGGAGGACTTGGCTATCACATATATGTTTTGATGACTTTTTGGAGTTTTACTGCCATACCTTCGCTTCCTCCAGTAATAATTTTAAAGCTGTGAATAATTATTGTATCTCATTCTTTTGTCTCAGCCTCAAACCCAAAAAGCATTTCACACCGATGCGAGTTCAATATTTTTTTAAAACCCCATTTTATGGGAAAAGCCTGGCAGTGCACTTACCATCAATCAGAGTCTTTTCCAGGCTTAATTCAATCAAGCTGATGAATATGAGCTGAAAAGGGTGCCTGTGTCTCCTCCCCTGTGAAGTGATTGAAACCCGATGGCAACAATGGAACATCCTCGGTTTTTTGCCCATATTGGTAATGAATACATTTTAAGATGCCACGTGGTTTCCTTCTTAAGAGCAAGGAGGACATAAGCAAAGAAACAAGCTCGTTTTCCAAAACCAACGCTGGAGAAGCTGAGTGCTTTGTCACGCCTAAATGACAGCAGTAAAAAATAATTGGCAATAATGTCATTTAACAATTGAAATGAATTGGGTTTTTTTCCCTCGGTGAAATAGAGGCTGTGGTGGAATGGTATTGTGGGAGCTCGTATTTAATCCTGGTGTCTGGGCAACTGGGCTCTTGCTGAGATGAGAGGCCCGTGGTGAGAAAAGAAAGGGGACAATCGTTGTGCTCTGTGTCTTGAAAAGAGGCGCTGTGCTGGATTTTTAAGGCCAGAAAAGAGCACTGCAGGTCTGGGATGTCTTGTGTAACCCAGGCTGGAGAGCAAAGAGGCTTGCTTTTAGATCTGCTTATTTTGTTAGGATTTTCTTCCCTCAAGATGCAAACAAGGGGTGAGATCCTGTTCTGGCCCTTGGGTCGGGTAGAAGGGCCAGAGTGGTGCCAAGCTGACCCCAAAGCCCCTGGCCTGGCTTGGGGAGGATCCCCAGGTGTAGGCATGGGAGAGGGAGGCTCCATAGCTGACTTTGGACATGCCGGCGCCAGAAGGCAGCAGAGCCTCTGCACAGCAGTGCTGCTGAGACCTCCGGCCGAGCTGGACCCCACAGGGAAGCCCTCTAATTTCCAGCCGCCAGAACAGCCCAGGATAAAACCAGTTAAAGACATTTTAGCCCCATCTCTCCCCAGTCGTGCATGTCTTGCCATCTTTTAAAGGCAAAGCGCATCCTCTCACCCAAGAACTTTTAATAGCTTGCCTGTAGGTTCATGCTCTGCTGGGAAGATGAAGTTACGTCGCAGGCAGTGGTTTGATCAGCAGCTCACCCTCCCACAGGCGTTCGAGGCCGTGTTTCTCCCCGTTCAAACAAAAGGGCTGGCAAAGGGTGCAAGATTT